CTGGGAACATTGGGATCTGATCATACCCGTAATATGCATCCATGAAGCTTAGAAGTTCACGTCCAACCATCGAATCGACAAGTTAGTCTATTCGGGGAAGTGGAAAGCTGTCCTTGGGGCAAGCTTGATTCAAATTCAAGAAATCTACATAGACTCTCCACTTGTCGTTGTGCTTCCTGATCAAGATTGGGTTAGAGACCCACTTAGGATACATTGACTCTTGGATGAAACTATTGTCAATTAGCTTCTTAAATTCGTGGGTTGAGAGCTATCATTTTCTACATGTAAGCTATAGCCTTTGGATCAATTTTCAAGTGGTGGCAACTGAATTTTAGGTCAATGCCAACTATGTCTCCGCGTAGGCGAAGACGTCTAAATTCTTTAGCAGGAAGCTTTTTAGCTTCTCCTTAGCTTCTACCAGCAAATTTCTTACAACTTGTAGGTATTTGGATGGGGCCTATCGATCTACTAAAAGATCTCTAGTTCCTCCATAGGGGCTTTTTGAGGCTCACAATCTATGATATGAGGGTCCAGCTCCTCCAAACTAGCTGCTTCTTCAGTAGCTCTCCTTTTTTCGAAGGGTGTCTACTCTTCACAGATAACCTCTTCTTCAGAGGTATTTATGACTCCGAAGATTGCCTCTTCTTCAGAAGAATCCGTCATTTCGACGTCTTCCCTTCGTTCAGGCTTTCTCCCTTATTCAGGGACGTCGTCCATGTCAAATTGTCAATGTCTGTGAAGATCACATAGACAATTTTTGGTTCAATGTTTCTCAGGAAATTCGAATAACTTTCTTTTACACTCTTCTTATCACCTCTAACCGTGGATATGCCAGTCCCAATTGGGAACTTCATTGATAGATGGTGGATAGACGTGAAGACCCATAGTTCCTTTAAGACTAGCCTCTATAGCACTCTATAAAAATTAGAGCGATTGTCCACTATCAAAAATTCCATGAAATTATGAGCAGTCAAGGGTGTGGTCCCCATCTATATTGCTAGAGTGACTCACCCCTTAGGATGATGCTATCGCCTGTTAGACCATACAAGGGGAACTCATTGGGGTTAGCTCGTGATCAACCTCCATCTTATCATAGGTGGCCCCAAAGATGATGTTGATAGAGCTTCCATTATCCATTGACATTCTTTTTAGGCTATTGTGTGCTATAATGACCGTCATTACTAAAGCGTCATAGTTGGATAATGCACATCGCTACATCATTTGAGTGAGATAATGGGTTGGACCCTTCTTTCTGTAGACGCTCGATTGTTGTTGACTAAGAAGCTTGTTATTGGAAGGTCCTTCACTTCCTTGGCATAGTTTCTCTGGGAGTTCCTAGATTTTTCCCCAACATATGAGCCTCCAAAAATTGTATCAATTTCCTTGATGAACTCTTGCTCAGCATTTGCTGGGGGCCTCTTTTTTGCCTTTGACCCTCCCTAGGTCTTTCCACATAATGGTCTCTCCTTTCCAGAGCATCGTTTCTATTGGGCTGCCTCGGCTCAACATTCTTAGGTTGCTGGGTCTGCTTAGAAGAAGCATCTCTTCGGAGGTGCCCGCTTTTCCCTGAATGGTATTATAAGGGTACTTCGCAATGTCCCTGTAGTTATACAGCTATAGGAGTAGTTATGCAGCTATAGGAGTGATGGTATATACAATAGAGGGGCGCTTCTTCCCTATTTCTATATTCAACGCCTCACCCCTACTTCTCATCGTTTGGGAAAATCTTTGATAGGGTCTGTCTGGGTACATTTCAGCACCAGTGTTTACTTCCTCGTAGGCTAAAGTGGGTACTACGTTTAATGTTGCTGCAGCCAACGCTTGTCCAGGATTGAGAGGGTTCGACTGTCTGACCTGATGATCCATCAAATGTGAAGTTGGGCCTCGACCTCTTTGTAGGAGAGGGGAGTCATTGGTTAGCCTTGTTCTTGTGATCTCTCAATTCTTCATTGATTATCCCACGATTTACCATTTCTAGTAAGGCATCGTCGCTTGTAGTGTCTCTATTCTGCACATCTCTCCAGAAGAGAGATTTCATGTCCAATCTTCCCCTTAGGCCTGTTAGAGCCTCTCCATCTGTCACTTGCACATAGTAGGTCATCTCATCGGTGAAGCAGGACAAGACTCAGGGACTCACCCTACTGCGATGTATATCTCATAGGTGTTGGATAGGCCATTTACCTTTTTTGCTTGTGGTGAAATGCTTAAGGAATGCCCTTTTGAAATCCAGATGCTTCCTTCTTGCAATCTAATGTACCGTATTTCAGCCGTTCTGCTTAGGGTTAAGTAAAAAGCTCTACACTTCATGGCTGGGGTGGCTCCTTTAGACTTATGTGAGTTTTGAAGCTGTTGAGATGCTTTAGAAGATCACCCTTCCCATTGTACTAGGGAATTGGGGGGAGCATGAAGTGGTTGAGCACATGGGGCATGCATTCCTAATTGCTTGCGATAATGGTTAATAGTCATCATTGTCGTCAAGGTTGTAGGACCTTTGTAGTTCATCAGAATCCCCATCTTCCCTAAACTGAGTTTTCGTGGATGGATGGAAAGGTCCTACTTCACTTTTGGCATGCTCTCTCTTCTCATGCCTATTTCTAGGAGGAGGATTCCAAGACATATTGTTTTAAACATGTTCGTCTTGTCTCTCGAACTGAAGAGGCTCCTGTTGCCTATTTCTAGGTACAGGAGGTGGTTAAGCTTGCCTATTTCTAAGCACAGCCGAAGGTTGAGCCTGCTATTTCTAGGCATTGGGGAAGGTTGAGCCTACCTATTTCTAGGCTTGCCTGGGTTCAGCCTGTCAAAGACACTTACGAACCTCTGAGGGTGATCTTCTGGTTAGTAATTCGGAGAGAAAGTTGAATAGTGCCTCGTTGAGTCATATGACATAGTTGGTGGATGTATCAACCTCAATTTCTCTTTCCTGGGGGCTTCCATCCTATTATAATGTTATTATTCAGTTATTTAGCTTTGAATATCTTCTTCACCATGGTAATATCCCTGTGAAGGGTCGTGGAATGCATTTCCAGAGGCTACGTATGGAGGAACTAGGTATCCTCCTTGGCCCCGCATGCTCATCAATAGTCCATACATTGCCATGTTCTACTGAGTTATACTCCTCATATTGCTAACCATTGTGGCTACGTCTCTAGTAAGTCTAGCTATTATTCTGGCCCCACCTCATCTGTGCTATTGATGAGGTGAGAGGTCGAAGGCGGGCCACTGGGATGGCATGCGAAGGTTCTCATTCTTCAGGGTGTTTCTTGGTCCTTCGAGATGAATTTTCATCATTGCTTGAACTCATGTTAATAAACTTTTTCCTCACAAAATGTTCATTTTCTCAAGAATCAGATTGGCTCTAAGTCAAATGGTTTTTTCTTTAGATTTTTCAACGATTCTTTTTTCAAGAACACCCCTTTTTCAAAGGTTAGAAAATTTCTTTCGAGTTACTTCCAACTGGCTTCTTTCCACAGGATTTTCGTGGTTAAAATGTGTGGTCTTCTACAGATGGTGTCAATCTATTGACCTCGAAAAATGTGACGCTGATGTGGACAACATATGTCAAGCCTACTCACGCCAACTCAAGCAAATTCTGGTACAATTTGAATGGAATACCGAAAGGAAGTGAGGAAAATGTGAACGCGGGAGATACTTCACGATGTGAGACACAAGTGTTTGAGCACCGGCGGACAGTGGCGGACCCAGGATTGGAGGTCAGTTAGGGCGATCGTGGACCGTTGTCTACTGACTGTCGACAGTCAATGGTCGTAATGTCCGTTCTACTGTAATAGTTCTGAGGAGTTTATGAACTCCTTGCCTAATCCAATCTCATACTTTACAACCTAACATTAAAAATAATTTAAAAATAGAATATTAAAAATATCATTGTCAGTGTATGCGATTTTAGAATCATATTAAAATACCACAGAAATTCACCTTGTGAAATCTAATCTACTATTTGTTCCGTTTCTTAGCACGAGATAATCCAACCAATATTTAGTTTTGCTGTTTATTTTCTCATTTTAAAGAAGCGTGGGCCGTTCTCTTTGCATTTCAGTTTTGTGTTTTGAGTTTTGAATTCATTTTGTGTTTTGTGTTTTGAGTATCTGTTTTGAAGTTTCTGAAAATGCATTCTTTTTGTCATTTTGAAAAACTGTTTCGAGAAACATGAAAATAGAAAACGCGTTTACTTTGAAATTTTGAGAATATTTTTGTAATAATATTTTATTCAATAAATATGATTATTCAATAAATTTTAATAGTGTAATATTAATATAATATTAAATAACATCTAAAATTGTCAGTTGGTCAATCTTAAAATATTTGTTTCCAGATATAAAAAACACATTAAATTAAATTGGACAAATCCTTATTTTTGTC